TCTCTCTCTCTCTCTCTCTCTCTCTCTACTCTCTCTCTCTCTCTCTCTCTCTCTCTCTCTACTCGTCTATCTCTCTCTCTCTCTCTCTCTCTCTCTCTCTCTCTCTCTCTCTGTCTGTGTATATATATATATAAACATATATATATATATATCAATGGATCTCTATATCATATTCTTTGTAACAATTGCGAATTCTGAATCTCCCTTCCCTTCTTCACCCTCAGACGTACGAGAAGCTCGTGTAGGTATCGCCGTAGCAACACTACAAACCAAACTCAACCAAGCACGCAGACCACCCGTACACGCACCTCAGCAGGATGCCCAACCTACCTACGAAGCACACGTACAGGTGACGCTAGAGCTAGGGACACACGCCATGCACACACATGACAGTGCAGAAGCAAGCGATAGACGGCAAATGGATGTAGGTGGGATTACCCAACGCACACATACACATACACCGGGTGAAGTATTAGTCCACAGCACAAGACCGAGAAAACGGGTCAAGCGCAGCGGCCCAGGTGCGACGGTGAATAGGTGCGGCATGTACTCGTCAGATAGTGGAACACGCGAAAGCCTAAATCTTAAAAAGGACCAATCAGATGACAGGGGTATGACCGACGTCCAATCAGATTGCAGTGAATTGTGTAGCAGCCAATCGGATGACGGGGAAGGGGGAGAAAGCGAATCAGAATGCAGCCAATCGCAGCGTCAGCGCGTACCAACCCCTGCCAACGTCCTTCGCCGAGAGGATAAGGCTCGTGTGCTTGTCCGCATAGCCTGGGTGCGGTTTCTGCGTGTATCGAGTGGTGGAAGGCGAGAGCGAGAGAGGTGTAGCGTGTGTGTTTGTACATGTGCATGTACATGTGCGTGTGCGGGAGTGTGGGAGAGTGGGTGTGGTAGGGTTAGGCAAACTAAGTGTGGGTATGCACCAGCGCAGCGGCGGACACAGTCACTCCATTCGAGCATAGACGCAGATGGAGAGGCACACACACACACACACATACACGCAGAAGCGCACAAACAAACAGGCACGGATGTGGCTATAAACGAACAAGGTAACACAGGTGTGGGTGTACACAACCAACCCACCTCAGATACGCATGGACACACACGGGTACGCGCACATATGCCTGCGCCGGCAGACTCAGGCGAGGAGGGTGTGTGTCTACACCGGCGTATGTCAGACATTGTGAACATACTGAGACACAATGTGTACCACATTCGTCCCGGTATTGCGCGCACAGAGTCGCTGTATCGGCTAGGTGCCGTGATGTGCTGGGCGGGAAATGCTGGCATACCATTGGTCGACAGCGGTCTTTCTATAAATAGCGCGGATGTTTTATTGGCTGAGGCGAAAGGTTATTTAAAGACTGCTCTGAACGCGTGTGGCTCGCTACCGGCGCCATTCTTGCAGCGGAGAATTTGCTTAAAACTGCTGCAGGTGAGTGTTTGTTGTATTGGTGTGGGTATGCGCATTGCATTGGACTGTGCTTGTAGTCACGTATTAACGAGAATAGAAACTTGTAATCACGTATTAACAAGAATAGAAACTTGTAATCACGTATTTACGAGAATAGAAACTTGTGATCACGTATTAACGAGAATGGAAACTTGTAATCACGTATTAACGAGAATAGAAACTTGTGATCATGTATTAACGAGAATAGAAACTTGTAATCACGTATTAACGAGAATAGAAACTTGTAATCACGTATTAACGAGAATAGAAACACTGTATCGCCCATGTGGATGTGCCGAGAACGACGGTTTCAATCACGTAATTCTGGACAGGAACAGACATATGCGTATATGTATGTGTATGTGTATAAGTGTATGTATATGTATATTAACATGTATATGTATATATATATTTTATGTATATATATATATATATATATATTTGTGTTTGTGTCTGTGTCTGTGTCTGTGTCTGTTTTTTTTTGTGTGTGTGTATGTGTGTACTTATAAATTCCATCCCCTCACATACCCACACACACACTATATATAAACACACATCCAATTCTTCCCCACCCACACAGCTTACGAATGAATCCGATGCATATTCAAGGTTCTATTATCACAATCGGTCACTTGCTGTGACGTTTCTGCACCAAATGGGCCATCGTAACCATTCGCATTCAGCGGAGGTTGAGGCTCTGGACATGACATGTGACTTTGGGAATATGAGTGCGCTGGAGTGGTATGAATAGAAAACGAACCTCTCGCGTGCAATGCTTCAGCAAGTGTAGATACGGTGCATATATGGGTCTGTACATGTACGTGTATGTGTACGTATACGCGTAGGTGTTTGCTTAGGGGTACATATGGGTATGTAAGTCAATATATGTGCGTGTGTTTATTGGTGGAATGTTTTCATATCTATTACATGGGAGACTTTGAGTATATGAAAGTGCTGTCCCTGATAGGATGATCAATATTTTGATAGTGTCCACGTAACTTTGTGGTTGTTATATATATCTATCTATATATATATATATATATGAGTGTGTGCGTGTGTGTGTGTGTGTGTGTATGTATATATATATATATATATA